TTCGTCATCTTTCCACAGACTGTGGCCGTAGAAAGCTACCGGTGGACCGCATTGTGGGAGGCCAGGACAGCAGTCTGGGAAGGTGGCCATGGCAGGTCAGCCTGCGTTATGATGGGACCCACCTCTGTGGGGGGTCCCTGCTATCCGGGGACTGGGTGCTGACAGCTGCACATTGCTTTCCAGAGTGAGTGTTTCCCCACAGTGCCACCTGGGGTAGGGCAGGAGAGAGGTCTGCAGAGGCCGGGTCCAGGGACTTGTCCCTTCTGTCCCCGGCAGGCGGAACCGGGTCCTGTCTCGGTGGCGAGTATTTGCTGGTGCTGTAGCCCGGACCTCACCCCATGCTGTGCAACTGGGGGTTCAGGCTGTGATCTATCATGGGGGCTACCTTCCCTTTCGAGACCCTAATATCGACGAAAACAGCAATGACATTGCCCTGGTCCACCTCTCTAGCTCCCTGCCTCTCACAGGTAAGTCTGGAGATCTAGCCTCACCTTAAGGACTCCAGAGACTTAGGGATCAAAGAAGGGGCCTGTGAAGCAAAGTAGATCCATCTTCTGGTTTCCATGGCAATGACAATAACAGACCCACCATTAGGGAACACAAACTGGATATTATCCATGAATGTTAGATAGCATGGCTGACATGGCTGACAGTTACACACAACCATCTGAGCCTTCTTCCTAAAGGAGTCAGCCATTGTGTGATCCAGTGATTCCTTTCCTATAGATGAGCGAAAGATGCTCTTTTTTTTTTTTTTTTTTTTTGAGACAGGGTTTCTCTGTGTAGCCCTGGCTGTCCTGGAACTCACTCTGTAGACCAGCCTGGCCTTGAACTCAGAAATCCACCTGCTTCTGCCTCCCAAGTGCTGGGATTAAAGGCGTGCGCCACCACTGCTGGGCTCAGATGCTCTTAATAGAACATTTAGTCATAGTAACCTGAGCATGAAGCCTGGAATCCCAGCAGAGGGGAGGAAGAGGCAGCAGAAGCTCATTCAAGGCTAGCCTTGAGTTTGAGGCTAACCTAGGCTACATAAGATACTCTAAATTAACTAATTAATTAATTAATTGTCTCCTCACTTATGAGAGGAGTTAGAAGTGGAGACATTGTAAACACATAAAGACTCTGAAGTTTCTTCTGGGGAGTGAAAATGTTCTACAGTGGAACACAGTGACGGTTGCGCCAATCTGGGAACATGACAAAGCCATGAGTTCATGCATACGTGTTAACACAGAGAGTTGTAAGACATGTGAGTTACAGTTGTGTAAAGCTGCAGTCATATACCTCAGTAAGGCTGTACCCCTCCAAAACCATGCAGAAGAGATGCTGGAGAGGTGTCTCAGTGGTTAACAGTGCTTGCTATCCTTACAGAGGACCCTCATTCAGTTCCTAGCACCTGCTTCATGCCGCCCACCACTGTCTCTGTTTCCAGCTCCAGGGAATCCAAGCCTCCTTTCTGGATTTCACAGACAGGCATATGCATACGCACACACACATGTGAATAAAAATAAATGTTAAATATGGAGGGGCTGGAGAGATGACTCAATGGGTAAGAGCATAGCTGTTCTTCCAGAGGACCCAGGTTCAATTCCTAGCACCCATGTGGCAGTTCACACCTGTCTGTAACTCAGTTCCAGGGGATCCAACTCCCCCACACAGACATGCGTGTAGGCAAAACATCAATTAATGCGCATGAAATAAAAATACTTAAATCATTTTTTTAAAGGTATGGAGAGCCAGCTGTGGCACATGCCTGTCATCGAAGCGCTGAGGGAAGTTGAGGCAGGAGGACTCTGAGGCCAGCCTGCGCTGTGCTAAGAGACCTTTTCCTCAAAACACCCAAAATAAATAACTACATAGACAATAGTAAATACAAGAACAGTGGCATGCTGTGCTTACATGTGTTTCATGCTGTGCTTACATATGTGTTTCATGCTGTGCTTACATATGTGTTTCATGAAACCATTTTGGTCCCAATGAGACACGATGGTCTCGTGACATCAGAATCTTAGTTTGCATGAAGGACACTCTTAGGATCTGCACACAGCGATGAATCCTCTGAGGACACATTTCTCAACGCGTCCGCTTGTAGCTAAGTGACCGTGCGCTTTCGGTGGCCTTGGTGTGTCCCGTGTCTGCACTCAGCTCGCTCTCCCACAGCCTTCAGGGTGGCCTCTCCCTCACTGATCATTCTTATGACGCCTTCAAGTGCTTCTTGCTTTTAACACCACGTCCATTTCTTACCACAGTTTCTGCAGGGAAATTATTTTGTGTGTATACTTTGTTTTCTTTCGATGCTGGGGACCGTCTCTGGGACCTTGTGTACTTCAGCAAACACTGCATCCTCAGCTTGCGGCATGGTTGTTGTTTTGCACTGGGGCCGTATGGAGGGTGAGGTGACATTTTGGATTGCGGTGCTGAGGCTCAGAAAGGCAGCAGTGAGGGGCTTTCAGGACTGTTTGCGTGGGCTACGCACTGCTCAAGGACACTCCATCTCAGTGGAGGCCTGTGTGATTATTATTAATAATAATGTAATTATTTTATATTAAATATAATTAATTTATTTTATTGCATTGGTGTTTTGTTTGCATGTATGTCTGTGTGAGGGGGTCTGATCCTGGAGTTACAGATAGCTGTGAGCTGTCATGTGGGTGCTGGGAATTGAACCTATGTCCTCTGGAAGAACAGCCAGTGCTCTTAACGGGCTGAGCCATCTCTCTAGCCCCCTGTGTGTTTATTGTTGCAGTTTTCTGACAGGTGGAAATCCAAGGTCTCAAGAGCAGGTTGTGCTTTCCTGTTTCCTGCCTCTGGGCTAGAGATAGCCCCATGGCCATGGTTAAGAGCCCAAACTTGGGGAAATAAGCTAACTTAGGTTCCAATTCTGATTGTGTCATTGTTTCTATGAAACTTTGGACAGGTGACTTGGCCTCTTGTCCCTCTTGATGCAAAGGTCAATCCCAGCTCTCTGGGATGACTGGGGATGAAAGAAAAAGATTTGAGAAAGTAGTGTATACATTGGAAGATGAAGATTCCGTCCTGTAGTGATAGAACGTGCTGGCGTTGTGGTTGTGTGGAGAGTGAGGTGTCTGGATAGCTGTGTCCCATGAAGAATAGACTGGCTAGTGGGGGCCGAACCATATGCTCTCTCTCACAGAATATATCCAGCCGGTGTGTCTCCCTGCTGCGGGACAGGCCCTGGTGGATGGCAAGGTCTGTACTGTGACCGGCTGGGGTAACACACAGTTCTATGGTGAGTTCTACGCAATACCAGTCATCACCACTAGGAGGGGCAGAATCTGTTCTGGGGGAGGCTCGGTGAACCTCAAAGAGACCCCCAGGCCGTGGAGTGGGAACTAGGAGAGAGGGCTTATTTCCTAATTCTGGTCACCTTACCCATCTTCCCTTAGGCCAACAGGCTATGGTGCTCCAAGAGGCCCGGGTCCCCATCATAAGCAACGAAGTTTGCAACAGCCCCGACTTCTACGGGAATCAGATCAAACCCAAGATGTTCTGTGCTGGCTATCCTGAGGGTGGCATTGATGCCTGCCAGGTGAAGGACACAGTGGGCAGCCCCCAGGCCTAACGCGATAGAGGAGGAGCCAGGGTAATGGGAACTGGGGATTCCCAGTGGAGTCATGGTGGTCTCTAGTTAGGTGTCCCATCCCCCCACCACCAGGGTGACAGCGGAGGCCCCTTTGTGTGTGAGGACAGCATCTCTGGGACATCAAGATGGAGGCTATGCGGCATTGTAAGCTGGGGTACGGGCTGTGCTTTGGCCCGGAAGCCAGGAGTGTACACCAAAGTCATTGACTTCCGGGAGTGGATCTTCAAGGCCATAAAGGTGAGTCGCTATAGTGGGGAGACTGTCTGGGACCCTAATAAGGAAAGTAGAAGTTTGGAAGAAACCTGTATTTGGACCTACCAGAGGGCATCCTGGAGAACAGGTGGATTCCCATAGGTTTCTGGGGATGAGACACTAGCTAGGTACGGAGTGTTGGGGAGAAGCGTCTGAAACCTTGGAAGCCCATGCCTCTTTCCCTAGACTCACTCCGAAGCCAGTGGCATGGTGACTCAGCCCTGACCCCTCCTCATCTCGCTGCTCCGCGCTGCACAGGCATCCAGAGTCAGAGTCGGGCTGGTGGCCCCAGCCCCACGTGGTAGGCTCCTCACTGGGCCTCACATGGAACGCTTTTCTGCTCGGATCCAGTCCACAGGTCCAAGAAAACTGGGTCCAAGGACTTCTCTTCCACAGTGGCCGGCCCACTCAATCCCAGGGCCACTGGCCTCACCCTCCCACCCCATGTAAATATTACTCTGTCCTCTGGGGGCTGCTTTCCAGGCGCCCCTTGTGCGGATGCTCTTTAAATAATAAAGGCGGTTTTGATTAATGGGTCTCTGCGTTTACAAACTTAAGCGGCAGTGTGGACATCTTGAGAGTAGCAGAGAGAACTGAGGGTCTAGCTAGCACAAAACAAGAAGGGATTGTGATCGGCCGAGCCTGGTGGCTGACTCCTGTAATTCCAACACTCGGGAGGATCTTCACGACTTAAAAGCTATCCTGGGCTACATAGTGAGTTCCAGGCCAGCCTTGGCTACGGAGTGAGACCCTTATCTCAAAAAATAAAAAAAAGAGAGAGGTAGGGGGCGGGGCTAAAATGCAGGAGACAGTCTGACTTAAGGAATTGCTCAATCCAACAACTCAAATCTCCTTCACTCTGCCTGCTTTCTGCAGGCCTTCCCACGACCAGAAGAAACGCACGCCATTTCTACATAAGTGGACCAAGTTCATGATGCCAGTGGGGGTGGGGCGCGGACGGGAGCGCGCGCACTCCTTTAATGAGAACACCAGAAAGAAACTGGAAAAAAAGTCCTGGAAAGGCCCAGCTCTGGGTCAGAATTGGGTCATGTGAACTTACTGGATTTCCCCGTACCCAAAGTGGTGCCTGGGGCTGAGGGCTGGGGGCTGGGTCTTCAGGAACCACGTGTGCTGCTTGAGGGAGACTCTTCCTAAGAAAACGAGGAGCTGCTTCCAGAGAAAGTGGACGTCAATGTCCGAGGAACAATAACTATGTCTGCTTATGGGCGACAGACAACAAAACTTCGTGGGGCAGAGAGGGGTGAGTGGCAAGCCTTGTAAGTGCAGCTTGAAGGGTCGGCCCCTCAGGGACCCACCCCTTCCTGCTTTGGGACTGGGACCCCCTCTCCCCCTGCCTGCACCTGCAGATCTCTGTGGCAGCGCAGATGGCCACCAGGGGGCACTGCAGCCATGGCGCTTGAGACTTTAAGGCTCTTCCCCCACAGGCTGAAAGCCTGTCCCCCACCCCGCACCCCACCCTCCACACACACACCCCCCAGCAGGAGAAAATGTTCAACCTATGCTGCTTCTCAAGATTTTAAAATTTTCTAAATTTATTTTTGCTGGCTTTTTTTTCTTGCTTGGATGGTGGGGGTGTGCTTTTCTTTTTTTGAGACCGAGTCTCACTATGTAGCCCTGGCTTTCCTGGGACTCATTGTGAAGATCAAGCTTCCTTTGAACTCACAGACATCCATTTGACTCTGCCTCCCAAGTGCCGGGATTAAGGACTTTGCCACCTACATCCAGCCTTTTGGGGGGATTTGGTGGGTAGGAATCATAACCGCTCTGGAGCTCTGTGTTCCCCCCCACCCCCCAAGCTGGCCTTCAGTGTGTGACAATCTGGCCTTAGCTTTGCCTCTGCCAGTTTAAGATCTTAACTGATCAACGTTAGAATACCACACAGCTTGTTAGCCTCAAGCTTTGAAATCTCTTCAAAAACACCCTGGAGGGACTCACAGTCTATTTGTCTGGCAAACGCTGTAGCCGTCAGCACCTGATCCTCTGCAGCCTTAGTGAGGTCAATCTTCACGGATGTGCTGCCTGCAAAGAGCCTCCCAGACCCACATGTCACTTACAGGACACCGACTCACCACTGTCCCTCCGGGTTTTCCATAAATTGTCTTGTCTGTGCCATTTTGGTGGGTCAGTCAAATGTTAGCTTGCCAGAAATGCACAAAACTTGCCTACCATGCTCAAAGTCCTGGGTTTGAATCCCAGCCACGCACACACAACTGTATACAGAGTTGGAGTGATCATGAATGTCCCCTTTGTAATAGTCTGCTGAAACAAGGCCCCATTCCTGTGTTTTAGAAGCGTGAAGTCTCTCCAGGAGCGTGAAGCCCAGTGAAGGATTTGAACACATGTGTTTTGGAGGAAGGAGAATGTTTTCGTCGAGGGGACAAGTGGAGAGGATGTGGCCTTGCCCAGAGAGGTAGGAAGGGATTGCGGCAGAAGGGATGTGGTAGAAATTTAGGCACGTATTTATTTATTTTCCATTGCTATAGCGAGACACTCAAGGGCGAATACTTTATTCAGAACTGAGGTTTAAGGGCTCGGAGAGATTGCTCAGTGGCAAGAGTCCTTGGTGCTCTTCCAGAGGAGTTCCGTTCCCGGTATTCAGACTGCCCAGGAACACCCGGAACTCCAGCTCCGCGGGATGCAGCGCCCCCTTCTGGTTCTAAGAACACATGCACTCACGTACACACTCTCATGCAGGAAACAAATTTTAAGAGGTGTAAACTGGATAGAGGGTGGTGCACACCTATAATCCAAGCACTCTGGATATTGAAGTAGAATCATGAGTTTGAGGCCAGCCTGGGATACATAAAACAGATCCCAAAACAGAGGGGGAAGAGATGACTGTCTTCCTGCAGTACGTGGTTTGAAGGCTGGAAGTCAGTAATAATAAAGCCCACAAGTGCCCATGGTGACCAGCAATGCTGTGTAAGGGCCCTGGGGAAAAAGATCATGGGAGTATACTGCACTTGGTGGAGAGCAGGCAGGAGTTAGCCCTACCCTTCCTGAAATAAGCACTCTCTTGGGCTTCATCAGAAAGTATTGATCCTCCTTCTGCTGGCAAGTGCTGTATCAGCTTCACACAAGTTAGGGTCATTTGGGATGTGGAGCCTCCACTCAGAAAATGCCTTTATCAGACTGACTTGTGGGCAGTCTTCTCGATTGATAATTGATGTCGGAAGGCCTGGCCCACTGTGGACCCTACCATCCCTACAAGTCGTCTTGGGTGGTGTAAGAACAAAGATTGGGCAAGCCACAAAGAGCAAGCCAGTACGCAACATGGCTCTGCTTTGGTTCCTGCCTCCAGGTTCCTGTCCTGACTCCCTCAAGGACAGAGTATGAGCTGAGCCTTGGAAGCTGAAATAAACCCTCTCCTCCCCAAGTTGCTTTTGGTCATGGTGCTCTACCACAGCAATAGGAGCCCTAAGACACCGTTCTCCCAAGCACCAGAGCCCCAAAACCCTTGTTCTAGGCCCTGCCTTTCTGTTTGTTTATTTTTGTTTCTTTGAGACAGGATCTCACTGTGTAGCCTTTGCTGTCCTGGAACTCACTCTTTAGATCAGGCTAGCCTCGAACTTACAGAGTGCCACCTGCCTCTGCCCCCCCCCCAAGGGCTGGGTTTAATTGTTGTTGTTGTTGTTGTTGTTGTTGTTGTTGTTTAAAGAGATATTTATTTTATATATGTGAGTACTGCTGGGTATCGATTTCAGAACCACTGGAAGAACAGTCATTGCTCTTAGCCATTGAGCCAGCCCTGAATGCTAGGATTAAAAGCATATGCCACCAGCTGGGTAAGAAGCTGCTGGCCACCAGTCACCATAAGTCAGCTGTTCTGGCACAGCTATGACACTTGCTGTGTCCCCAACAGCTCAGCCTTCAATGCACCTTTCATCTGGTACTCACAAAGAAGCAGGCAGGCTCCCTGGTTTGCAAGGAGAGGTGGAGGTTAGCTGACAGGGCAAGACCAGAGGCTTCTTGGATGTAGCCCCTGCCTCTGAGAATGACACCTAGGGACTGAGCAGGGACACCATCCAACACTCACCTTGACTGGCCTTTCAGCTCAGGCTTCTTAAAGTGAAGCTGCATCATGCCAGTGATAGCCAGGGCCACACACAGCCAGGTCTAAAGGCTGAAGAAGTTGATGATGCAGGCTCGTGGTGGCCTGGCGTCTTAAAGATTCTACCTCTTAATCTCTGGTGACCAAACTTCCAAGGGGCACACCAGGTATAAATGACAGAGGAACACCAGGTCTAGCACTGTGTGGCAGGAGACTGTAAGCCAGGGTCTCCACTCTGGGTTCCCCCAGCACTTTTACTCTCCATAGCCACCAGAGACCCTAATGGGCTCAGTTGATGGGAGAGGGGTTCCCTGTCTAAGCCTCTAGGTCTCCAGAAAACTTTTTTTCCTCTTTACTCCTTTGTTCACATTGTTCAGAAAACAGACAATCCAAGGTTCCATGTAGCACAGGCTATCTAAACTCTCTATGTAGCTGAGGATGGCCTTATCTCTTTTTTTGACCATCTGTCTCCTGAGGGCTGGGGTGACAGACATAAACCTACCCCTGCCCTTTCCATTAGAGACAATCCCTCTGCTTTTATGAGTTTCATGTCACTGCTGTGACAAAATTCATGCTATAATTTATGGGAAGGTTTATTCTGGTTTATGGTTTGGGGTGGAGAGTACGGTCCATCACCGTGGGAATGGCAGAGTTGGACGGGACAGCCAATCACTGCTGGGAACCTGACCCCTACACTCTTCATATCTCATAGGACCAGGATGAGCACAGACAAGCAAACAGGAAGCAGAATCCAGCAACGGCCATCACCACCCCCTCCCCAACCCACCCCAACCCCAATGAACTCTTCTCCAGCTGTGCTTCCAAACCCAATACATTTTTAAAAACAGATTTATTTATTTATTTTATGTATGTGAGTACACTATCGCTGTCTTCAGACACACCAGAAGAGGGCATCGGATCCCATTACAGATGTTTGTAAGCCACCATGTGGGTGCTGGGAATTGAACTCAGGACCTCCGGAAGAGTAGCCAGTGTTCTTAACCACTGAGCCATTTCTCCAGCCTCCCAAATCCAATGTCTTAACAGCCTCTGGAAACAGCGTCACCAACTGGGAACCACGTATCCAGATATAGGAGATTATGGGGGATATTTGAGATTCAAACTGTGATTGTAACCCAGGCTAGCCTAGAATTTACTATCCTCCTGCCTGGGCTCCCGGGATTACAGGCCTGCGCCTCCACACACAGCTGGAACAGCGCGCTCGGAGCACTGAGATTGTTAGCATCCACACAGTCAAGCAGAGAGTAATGTGCGGTTTCCTTCTCACGCTAGCTCTTTCTTAAGCACAGAGGCTGCCGTGATTAGGGAGGGCTGTGACGGCCATTAATTTTACATTCAGAAGTAATTGCTGGGAAGGTTCAAATAGTGGTGTGCGTAGGTAGGGAGACGGGTTTTGGGTTTCTGCATAAAACGCGATGTTATTACAATAATGCGAGTTAGTCAAGGAGCTGCTGTGCTGCCCCTATGGCTGCCAAACAAACCGCCCAAACCTAGCAGGGAATAATAACCCTCCTGTCAGGCTCGCTGGAAGTGTGGCACAGAAGGCTGGACAGGGAGAGTCGTGTCTGCTCAGTGATGCTCTGCCCTCGGTCAGCAACAGAAAGGACTGATAAGTAGAGATTGTAGAGGCTTCCTGACCGTGATCTGTGTCTAGGCTGGAAGGCTGGTTCCACTAGAACGACTGACTCTTCTTCTGTCTGAGTAGCTTGCGCTCTGATCCATCATGGCAGCCTCATGAAATTTGCACTTCTTAAAAGATAGCCCGAGTGATCTGCCTTTGACGTTCCAGCCCTGCTTTTGCTTTTCTGTCAGCCAGTGCAGTTGCCAATCTACCTGAACTCTAAGGGTAGGGACAAAGATCCCGCCTTTCAGAGGAGAAGACGTCGAAAAGTCGGGGGCCATTGTTTTAGAACAGCCATTGGATCCAGTTGGCTGCTGACAGAGCCGAGAGATAGTCTCTTTACAGGTCCAGCCTGCAAGAACTGCCTACTGTGACAGGAGAAATGGTTGTCACGCAAGTGTAAGGTCCTTAGTTCGAGCCCCAGAACACATCTGACAAGCTGGCCACGGTAGTGTGCAGCTGTAACCTCAGCGCGGAGGAAGAGGAGAGGGAGATCTTTGGGAATCACTGTCAGACAGTCTAACCCAATCGATGCCAGACAGTCTAACCCAATCGATGTGTTCCTGGTTCAGCAAGAGAGCCTGTCTCAAAAAGTATGGTGGAGTTCGACACAGGAAGACACATGACGCCAACCCCTAGTCTCTGTCTCTGTCTCTGTGTGTGCGCGCCCTCCCAACCCCCCCCCCCCGCAGGCGCATGTGTGTATGCAAGTGCACACATGCTTATGTGAAGATCTGGCTCTTAAAGTTATAAATTGTGGCCATAGTAACTTCTAAATTACATCTACTTAATTGTAAATGTTGTGTGGAAAGAGTGCCCAAAAGTATGTACGTGGAGATCAGAGGACAGCTTTCAGTATCAGCTCTCTCCTTCAGTCACATGGGTCCTTGGGACTGAACTGGGCCGTCAGGTTTGGTGGCAGAAGCCTTTACCTTCTGAGCCATCTCACCTGTACCTCCAGGTGAATCTCTCCCGTGTTTCTTGGTCCCCCGGTAACCACTGCAAACACTGGAGTGCAAGTCTCAGTTACAGCGTCCTGTTTCCATCATCCTTTGTGGGTACCCAGTGCCTGGCTCTGCACTGTCCTATGCATAGGCGTCAGACCTGTTTCGGGGTCCTGGGTAACTTGTAGTATCTCAGGTACCTCTGGGGGTACCAAAGCACCCCAGATTGATGGGGATGCCAGAAGGCTGTTATCGGGGAATTTAGAGGGAACAAGGTATCCTAGACGACTCTGATCTGAGTCAGCTCAGCTGAAGAACTGACAACTCAGACATGCTGGGGTGCTGGGCTTTCAGCTATCCCGAGTTGTAGCTGAAACATCTTCACAGGGGCTGGGTGACCACTCTACCTTACAACCTGAGAGGTGGGCCCTGGGAGGGTCACGATGGGACAGAGGTGGACCAGTGTACGCAGGGGCCTGAGAAGCTCCCGTGAACTGCTATTCCCACCCAGTCTGACTGCTGCTGGACTAGATGTGTGCGGGAGAGAAGGAAGAAGGAGGAAGGGAGGTGACAGTATGTCCGGGGTTTGCTCGGTAGGCGGCACTATCATAGATACCCAGGACCCAGAAAGAGGTGTGGCCCCTACACTCAGGACAGTTCAGGAGTCCAGCTGTTGCTACAGATGGAAAAACTGAGGACATGGGGATCCTGCTCTCAGGTTCACGCACTCTCAGGATATCCAGATGAGTGTTTCCGTGGTTGTCTCCATCCATTCAAGTTGACAATGAAGGTGAATTACCACTGTGAAATGCAAGGCTCTGGGTTCAATCCCCAGTACTGGAACAAATCAAAACAAGGACCCATGAGAGGGCTCAGCAGGTAGTGGGGCTTGTTGCCAAGCCTGATGACCTGGGTTTTATCTCAGGTCTCACATGATGGAAGGAGAAGGCCAACTCCCTTCTGCAAGATGTTCTCTGACCTCCACATGTGCACCACAACACACACATACACACATACACGCACACACACACACATACACACACACGATGTAATGAAATTTAAAATAATTTGAAATAATTTAAAAAGATTAAGCATCATAGTGGATATGTGGTAACAGTTGGGGAGGGTCATTGAGCTCTCAAGACCCTCCCCTAAGCTGTCAATCACCACCCCCTTCTGCTCTGCTGCTGATGATGTTAGGGAAGAGACAGAAATGCACAGCTGTGGGGCTGCCCTGCTGTCCTTCTGGGTCGGTGTTAGCCAGCCCTAGGAAGCCTGACAGCCACAGAACTTAGTTATTTGTCTATCTTGTGATAAGACATCAAAACCAAAGCAACTTATAAAAGAAAATGTTTAACCCATGTCCCACAGTTCCAGAAGGTTAGAGTTCTTGACCATCATGGCGGGGATCATGGCAGCAGGCAGGCGGGCATGGCACTGGAGAGGAAGGTGAGAGCTTACATCCTGATCCAAAAGTGGGAGGCAGAGAGCACTCACTGGGAAACGCATGGTGTGTTTTTCTTTTCTTTTTCGAGATTTATTTTATTTTATCTTATTTTGTATGTGTTTGTTTGTGCATATGAATGCAGTGCCTGAAGAGGCCAGAAGAGGGCGCTGGAGTTGAAGTTGCAGACAGTCATTAGCCACCCAAGGTGAGTGTAGGGAACCAACTTGGGTTCTTTGCAAAAGCAGTGCATGTTTTTAACCGCTGAGTCATCTTTCCAGCCCCTTGCTTTTCCTTTGAGGCTCACCGTGTGGCGTAAGCTGGCCTGGCATGTGCTGTCACAATTTTGAGGGGTCAGGATACTAGGGATGGGATCTGAGACCTTGCGTATAATTAGGCAAGCAAGTGCTTTGCCACTGATCTGTGCTCCCAAACAAAAGCTTTCTGGACAAGGTTCTCATTTCTATGCTCCTCCTGCCTGACACACACAATTAAAGCCAGTCTGGGGTGCGGTGACCATCTAAAGAAGGCAGGGTCACATCCCAAAGGTTCTAGGGAGAGTGGTGGTTTGAATGAAAAGTACCCAATTCTTGGGCATCAGATGCTTGGTCCCCAGTTGACAGTTTGGGTAGGTTTAGGAGGCGTGCCTTGCCGGAGGAAGTACGTCACCGTGGGGCAGGCTTTGAGGTTTCAAAACCCATGCCCTATTTCCTGTATGTGGCGTCTGTTTCCCGTTTGCAGTATGAGGCATGAGATCTCAGCTGTTGCTCAAGCCGCCATTCTGACCCCTGCTGTCATGCTGTCCCCAGCATTATGGGCCCTAACCCTTTAGAACCCTGAGGCCCAAAGTAACCCTGTCTTCTATAAATTGCCTTGGTCGTGATGCTTTATCAAAGCTTACAAGGGTAACTAAGATAGGGAGTCTCAGGACCAGTCCCAGCAGTCTGATAAGGGCACAACCCTAGCCTCTACACTGGATTAGTGGCTGTCGTAGGATGAATAGGTTTGGCCCCCATAGATTCATGTATTTGAATGCTTGGCCACAGGGAGTGGTACTATTGGGGGTGTGGCCTTGTTGGAGGAGGTGTGACCTATTGGAGGAAGTGTGTCACTGTGGGGGCCGGTTTAGACGTCTCCTGTGCTCAAGCTGATCTCAGTGTGGAACACAGTCTCCTTCTGCTGCCTGCAGATCATGAGGTAGAGCCCTCAGCACCAAGTCTTCCGTGTGTTGCCATGCTTCCCGCCATGATGATAACGGACTAAACCTCCATTTCCATCATAAGCCAGCCCCAATTAAATGTTTTCCTTTATAAGATTTGTCTTGGTCCTGGTGTCTTCACAGCAATAAAACCATAACTAAGAGAGCAGCCTTGGCGTGTCCACCTCAGTGCCTTGAGAAGAGTGTTGCAGACTGACGCTGGCTTTCTAGTCTTCTGTGACTATTGTCACTTCATCTCTGCCATGCTCTATGACAGCCATGTTCGTGTCCAGTTTTCCCTGGGTAGGGACATGGGAGATGTCTGCTCCCACACTGGCTGTCTCTATCACATACATTCCAATATCACAGCTTCACAAGCCAGTCGCTCCCACAGCCTAATCCTCTGCGCTCCAATATGGGGAGTATGTGTATCATTGCCTGCCTACCCAGGCTTGCCATTGAGCTGGCTGGTGCATCGGTCCACATGGCAACCTGTATCTGTGACCTCTGTATGCATTCGTCTGTTGAGGGAGGTGTACTGGTAGAGATTCTGGGCACGGCCCGATAGGACCAGGTGCACAGCCTCCGTGTGCCGCCTAAGAGACACCTGGCAGCCTGTGGCACGTGGTACTTGCTCTGGATTCCGCCGCTGGCGCCTCCCACCCGTCAGATTGCTCACTGAGTTGACTCCCCTCACAAATGCTGGCTGCAGCCTTGGCTACTTTAAGGGTTCCAATTGTCCCATCGGCTGCTCCGGTGGCTCCGGATTGCTTCTCACCCTGTTGGCTCCTCCTTCAAACAAAATCTCCCAGAACATGCTTGGCAGATCCTCCGTTTCTGCCCAGCAAGGGAAAAGAGTCCCAAAGAGGCCCAAACGTCAGTTCTCAGTGCCCGGCTGTTCTGATTGGTCCCTTCTTGAATCTGCCCTGTGGCCTGGGAACAGGAGTCTCCAATTGGTATCTGCCTGCACCAGGCTTGGCCTCTGGGGAGTTGGCCTGACGGGGGTTGGGATGAGGTTAGTGGTGGCAATAGGTACTGGCCAGTACCCAAAGGACAAATGTCCACTTCCCGTGTTCTTGTCTTGCTGCCAGGCCATCTTTGTAAGAGCATTAAGCAGTCTCAGCAGTCATTGTGATCATGATTTCCAGTTCCAAGGATTAAAGCCAGGGCTTTGTGTATGAAAGACGAGACCTCTACAACTGAGCTATGACCCAGCCCCTCACTGGAGGATTCTAGGCAGGGGCTCTACCACTGAGCCACGCCCCCAGCCCCTC